AGCCCAGGTCTGTCTGGCTTCTTTTAATCCTTTAGATCCCTGCTTAGATGTCTTCTCCTGTGAGGAACCTCGTAGCACTGCCCTCACCACACACACACACTCCATTAACCTCCACCATCTCCATCAAATTCTTTTATTTCCTTCACGCATTCATCACCATCTGGAGATATTGTTCCTTATTCTTTTAAACATATATTTACAGTCTGTCTCTCCTCACCCCCTACATTGCAACCCTCATGAGAGCAAGTCTGATTATGTCCTGTTCACCTTATCCCCAGCATCGTCTCTGACACATAGCAATTACTTGATTCTTTTGGAATAAAGAAATGATGTCCGTGTTGGGGGAAGGTGCGGAGGCCTGAGTTCCTCCTTCCTAAGTTTATCCCACAGTGGGGAGAGCTGCAGTGAAAGAACTTCACCCTGCCTCCCACCACTAACTCGTCCACCCTGCAACTGTCAATACATCGTCCGCCTTGTGCAGGGGGTGCTGGGCTGGGGACTGGGGAGATGGCAGTGAAGATGTCACCCCCAGTCCCTGTCCCCATGAGGTTTTTGGTCAAGTTGGGGAGACAGATTTGAACACCCGGTTAGAGCAGAGAGTGTGGGGAGGGAAAGAACACTGAGGTGCCCAACCCAGTCTGGGCAGTCAGGATGGGCTTCCTGGAGGAAGCAGCATTTAAGGCAAACCTGAAAGGATGAGTAGGGTCTTGGCAAAGAGAGGTGGGCAAGACGTGGGAGGGGTGGGAGCATCCTTGACCCCTTGAATCTAGATTTCCCTCATCGTCAAATTAAAGCCAGTGAAGCCTGCTTGGCACTCCTGAGGACATCCTGAGCAGATGAGATGGGACAATGGACTGTAGAGGGCTTTGGGAGAAAGAAGGCATAGCGTGTGGGCTGGGAACAGGGGTAGTTGAAGACTGGCTGTCGTTCACCTTGACCTCTGTGGAGGTCACAGCTGCTCTCTGGGGACAGCCACTTCTGCGGAGGATTAACAAGCTTTGCCCACACAATCTTCCCCTCAGTGGGGGGATCCATCAGTCTGGTCCACCTGCACCTGACCTGGTGGAACAGGTGAGTGGGGGCTGGGGCAGGGCCTGAGCGGGCAGGTGTGGAGGAGGGAAGATGTGCAGAAGGCCAGCAGGTGAGACCCCCATATCATCCCTCCTCACTAAGGGGCCCCTGAGAAACAGAACCCAAGACAAGGATTCGGGAGTCAGAGGTTTATTTGGGAGGGTATCCCAGGAAGCTGCAATAGGGGTGGGGATTGAGTGGGAGGGGAGTCAGTGCAGGTGCATCCTGGAGGTGACTCTGGGGGCCTGCCGAGGCTCCGTCCTGTTGGGGAGCTCGGGGACAGTCGAGAACATGCGTCTGAGTTGCCCATCCAAGGGGGGAGGGGAGTGGGATTCCATCCAACACCTTCCATCACTCATTCACCAAGGGGGTTCCCAGACAACTTCTCCCTGGGGCTTGGGCTCAGACTTCTGCCACACCCGCTTGTCCCCACTGTGGAAGGCTCCTTCCCAGCCCGCAGGTCTCAGCCCAGCACCACCTTCCTGGGAGGCTCTGCCTGACCACCATCTAAAGGCAGCCAGTACCTTGGTCCTCCCGGTGCGGCACACTGCTCAACTCTCATTACACAATCGCCACTTGGATTCACGTCTTTGTGCAACTTGTCATGAGAAATTTATTTATGTCTTGCTTCCCTGTTCACTCTGTCTCACCCATGAGAGTGTAAAGTCCCGTCTTTCTTGTTCCCCACTGGATCCCCTTACATCATGCCAGATTCCTATTAAGTGCTCAATTAAATAGGCTTTGAAGGAATAAGTTATTGTCAATTCCAAGCCAGGGGTTCTGGGCTCTGAGGCTCAGAACTAGAAAGGCATTTGATGGATGGAACCTCTGGGCTGCTGGGAGGGGCAGTGAGGTCATGAACTGGGTGCCACACCTGTACCTACCCACGGGACAGAAGCCCCGCCATCCCTCTGAGAACCCCACCAGTGGGAAGAAAAGCTCTGGGGGTCCCCAGGGCTACCTTGGTTACCCAGGGCATCATTCTCTGCCAAATCTGGGTAATCTCAGCTTCATTCTCTCCCCACTTTCTCCAGCTGAAGAGGAAGCGGCCAGACAGCTGTGGAGCTGGGACTCTCTTTAGATGAGATGCATTAATTTGTAAATATCTTCATTTATATGTAAATTTGGAGTCCCCCCGCCCCTCCCCAGCCCTAACGGAGCCCTGCAGCCTGATGAGCAGCTTCCTCCAGCACAGCAGCTCCTGTAGCCTCAACTCTCCGTCATCAGATCAGACTCCGAAGGGGTCTTCTCCTTCCTCCCCTTCTGCTGTAGCCTCCTCGCAGTGGCCCCCTCCCTTGGTGCTCTCTGCCTGGGCAACCACCGCTATAACTGAGGCTCGGGGAGAAGGCTGGGGAAGAAAAGAGTACCGACCACATGGTTGCACTGCTGTGTGACTTTGGACAAGTGTCTTTCCCTCTCTGGGCTTTAGTTTCCCCAGCTGTAAAACGAGGGAGGCAGTGTGGTGCAGGGGTAGGATGAGGCGAGTTGGGGTCTGACCAAGTTCATGTTGTTCCAGCGGGGGGCCTCCTTGGGCAAGTCCTTTGACCTTGCTTAACTTTGACCCTGTCTGTAAAATCAGGACTGTAGAAAGTAATGATAATAATACTTGCCTGAGTTCAAAGTGATGTTAGTGACAATCAAGAGCAAGAGTACATATGAGGAGGCTTTGTGAGATTTGGAAAAAGTGACTTTTTTTTTTTTTCAGTGGTGCGAGAGGAAGGGTTTTTCTAAGAGGTAACAGCAAACATGCACCGCTTGGCGACTGTGGCTGCACTTTATGCGAATTACTAACTCGTGGAATCCTCACAAGGCTGCAGTGAGCTTCCTACTGTGGTCACTCCCTTCTCGAGATCCGGAAACTCAGGCACAGAGTTATTAACCCAAGATTACATTACAGCAAGCGGGTGGAGCAGCCTGACTTAAACTCAGGCCATCAGACAGGAATCTCGCCAAGACCGCACAGCAGTCGTGTAAGCTGATCACATGAAGCCTGCTTCACAGGTGAGGAAGCCAAGGCCGAGGTTAAGGCCCTCACCGTCCAAGGTAACTCAGCAGGAAGGAGCCCAGCTGGGATTTGAACCAGGTCCTCAGGTACCAGGGCTGTGCTCTGCATGCATGAGATGGTGGGGGTCAGGGATGTTCGGGTGGTCTCTGGGGTTCCTTCCTGGCTCAGGAATCAGAGCCAAGGAGTCACCGTGGAGACTACCCCTGCGCGTGGGGGCTGGGGGGCCGGGAATGATGGGGCGTTGGTTCTTGGAGACCATGGTAACCAGGCAGGGGTGTGGCAGGCGGCGCTGGATTTCTGGGAAGCCTGGAGGCGATCTGAACGCTCATTTGCTGCAGGATCATCTGTGGCTCCCAGACTGGTTGTTTTCCAAATGAGTTTTTATCTTTTTTTTCTTTCATTTCATTTGTAACTGGTTTGTCTTAGGTGTGCTTTAAAATTTTAAAGCACCTCGCGTCCTTTTTGGAAGTGGATGCAGGAGAAATCAACAGATGGATGAAGGTATCTGGGTGGCCGTTTGGCCACCTCTTCAGAGACCCTTCGCATCCACATTCTCACCAGATTTCCCCAATAAATGCTAAGTCTGAGCTCCTGGCACCACGCCCCGAGAGGAGGAGCACCCAGAAAGGTCCTCCGGGGGACACACCCACCTTCCGCTCTTACAAAGGCGGCCAGGGAGGGACCACCTGGCTGGTTGTCTCTGCAGGGCTGGGTATGCCCTTGGCAATCTTCTGGTCCCATTTTCTAATTTTACCAAAGGGGAAGCTGAGGTCCAAAGGACCCAGGTGTGTCCCCAGGGTCATCTTCTCAATTTGCAAATTTCATTGTGCACCTGCTGTGTGCCAGGGTCCCAGTGAAGCACCGCCCGCGCCAGCTCGGGTCTGCTGCAGCATCTCCCCCGTGCCTGGCATGGCCAGGTTGTCCTCTAGCTTTGGGGAAGTCTGCCACTTTTTGCCTGGCCATCAGGTGATGTATTTGGTTGTGTAGTGTGAAAAAGCATGCGTGTGTGTGTGTGTACACGTACACAACTGCACATCCAGAGCCTGTGTGAAGCTCCTCTTCATTAACACAATGAGACCCCCCTCTCATGGAAGGGTGGAAACTGGAGGAGCCGCAGCTGTTGGCTTTGGGGGAGATCAGTTGTGCCGGGGTGAGGGGCTGTCTAACGAAAGTGTCCTACAGGAGGACCTGCTTGAGTTGGGTTCTGAAGGCTGATGAGGAGTTTACCATGTGACCAAAAGGAACAGGGTTCAGTGGGTGTAAAGGGTCAGAGCAATAAAACAGGACTGGGGTCTTGTAGGAGAGCATGAGAGGGGAGTAGGGCCGTGGGCATCTGTGTACCTGGCACACGGCAGGGCCTGGAATGGGATCACTACCTTAAAGTCTGCTAGAAAAATGGTAGGGGTAGAGATATTAAGTGTCTCTGTTCCGAGGGGCTCTTTCTTCCTCATCCTGTTGCGGCTTCTGACCTGGGATCTGGTTATTTACAGTCTTTTTTTCTTCCCAGGTTTGGAGCCAGTGGGGAACAGTAGATCACGTTACAGGGGCTTCTGAGCCAGGTAGAGCTGATTCACACCCCACGTCTGGCATTTCCTCGCTGTGTGACTTTAAGCACATTCCTCACCCTCTCTGGATCTCAGTGTCCTCACCTGGAATGGGGGTTTGGAAAACCACCCCGCAGGACTGTTGGAGGAGCTGGCAGGGGAGGCCGACGGGAAGGGTCTGCTCCGCGCGGCAGAGCTGTGACTTAACTGCCTCCTCCTTCTAGGGAATGTCCCCTCGGGAATGGGCCCCCTTCTGCAGCGCAGCCCTAGCTCTGTCTTCCAAGCCCGCAGAGGGTGATCCTGAGGACCCCCGAGAGCCCTGCGGGATGGACGTGACCGGGCTGGGGAAGCGGCCCTCCCGGCCCCGCCCGGCCCCTCACCTCACGGTGGACTGGTACACCAGGTCCTCCCGCTTGCGGTAGTTCTCCATGTGCGAGTAGTTGGTAGAGAACATGGCGTCAAAGGTAAAGATCTTCTGCTTGATGGTGCCACCATCCGTCACCTGCAACAGGCACAGAGGCAGCCACAGGTGAGCACTCAGCCAGCCCTGCCACCCCCTTCCTTCAGGCCGCGAGTGGGCTCCCAGGACCCTGGGGACATGCAGGAAGCCCCAGGAGGAGCCTCTGGTGGGAGACGTCTAGAAGCCTCCCAGGTCACCCCTACCTTCCTGATGTGCCGACTGAGGTTCTGTAGTCAAGTGCCTTCCTGAGGTCCCGCAGCTAAGAAGGAGCAGAGCTGCCTCCCCTCCCTGGGCATCTCCAAGGCACCACATGGGCCCACTTCTGCGATCCCACTGGTCAGTCTCGCAGAAAAGACCAGCAAAAGTTGGGGAGCCATAGATAAAGACCAGAGAGTGTGAATGTTTTGCAGAGTCAGCCACCAAGTCACAGTCTGATCCCATAAATCCTACAAGGGAGAGGCCCAGAATGGCAAGAAAACCCAGAACACAAGCAGCCTCCATCTTGGGGATAGGGCAATCATGGAGGGCTTCCCGGAAGAAGCAATATCGAAGTTGTCTTCTGAAGGAACAGCAGGAGCCAGCCTGACCAATGGTGCGAGTGCTTTCCAGGATGAAGAGACCGCAAGAGCAAAGGCCAAGGGGCAGGAAAGAACAGTGTGTGCCCAGGCCAAGGAGACTATGTTCAGAGTGCCTGGGGGCAGGGAGGAAGTGGAGGGAGAAGGCCTTGTGGAGTGAGCCAGATGGGGAGGGCCTGGCGCACAAAGGGACTCAACTCCCCTGAGGACAACGGAGGTGCAGGGCTTCTGATTCTATTTACAAATGCCCTCTGGCCTTGGACTGATTCGAAGGGGCTCCTCTGAAGACAGGGAAGCCCAATCTACTGATGCCGGGGATGGAGACAAGAACAGCATGGGGGACTCACCCACCTCTGGCTGTCCTTGGGACAGGACCAGAGGGAGTCAGGAGGTCCCCACTTCATGGAGGAACACGGAGACCCAGAGAAGGCCGGGGACCACGGGAGGTGGTAATGAAGCCCGCGCTGGAAGACAGGCTGCTCAGGTGTCCAGCTGTTCATAGCTGATTAAAAGCGGGACCCAAGTGTGCCCTAATCCCGACTGCCGCCTGCCCGCATCCCCACCCGCACGGCTGTGCCGCCTCCCGCTAATGAAAGTGTTACTCCACAAAGCAGCAAGGTATGTGTTGTCACTGTTTCAATTATTTATCTGTTTACTCGGCTGCAGTTTTCCGCTTGTCTCAGCAACTCTATTATAGACTGGGAGCTTGTAGCCTCTCGCCACTCAGCTGGGCTCCGCGCTAACAGCCTGAGACGGGCAGGCCTCATGCCTGGTCCCGGAGAAGCAGAATTAACTCCCTACGGCTCTGCGTGCTGGAGGCGGGAGAGGGGGCTGGGAGGGCGGTGGCCAGGGATGGGGTTTCTCCCAGGGCTCTGGGGGACGGCGGTGGGGAGATGCTGAAAGCGGCTTTCCAGAGCCAGCAAAGACCAGCTTGGATCCGCTGCCTTTCTGGGAAGACTGGTCCTGGTGCAGCTGGGCTCCTCTGGGCACATCTGGACCCAAGCAGACTTGGACCACATCTGTCTGGCAGAGGGGGTGTTGCTGCTGGTTTAAGGAACACAGATCCAACGCAATCCAGGCAGCATTTATCAAGTGCCAGCTGTGTGTCAGTCACGAGCCACGTCAGTATGGGTCACCTCCCCAAGCTGCAAGCAAGTAAGACACCTCTATCAGGACCAGGGTCCCCAGGGAGCCCTGGGTGGCAAGGGTTAGGGTGATGATAATGCGTTCACTAGCCCCAGGTCAGCTGAGGAGGTCAGCGGTGGGACTTCCCACCGCACGGCTTGTCCTTACGAAGATCACACCCCTCTGGGTCTCCTCCAGGCTCATCGACGCTCCTACACCTCCCTGCTTCCTCTCTGGGAGCTTGGCACTATTTTGAGTGTGCGTGCGTGCAGTCAGAAGGACACCACATCCTCTGCTCCTCTCACCTTGCCTCCCACCAGCTTCCAAACAGGGGATGATGAGAGTAGAGAAAAAGGAGGAAGAGAAGCAAGGTACCTTTAAACCAGGACCTTTAACTGGGGGACATTTGGCAAGGTTGTGAGCCATTTTTGGTTGTCGCAACTCAGGGACAGGGGATGGTCCTGGCCTCTACCAGGTAGAGGCCAGGGATGTTGTTTCCATCCTACGATGCACAGGAAACCACCCTCCCCCAAAGAATGATCTGGCCCCAAGTATCAACAGTGCCCAGGTTGAGAAATCTGCTTGAAGTCCACCACTTCGTGTAGACCCACCCTGTCCCCAGAGAGGGAGCAGAAGAGACAACAGTCTCCCCATTTTGCAGATGAAGAAGCTGAGGCTTGGAGAGGCAACACACTTCAGCCGAGGTCCCACCCTGGGCTCTTGGCAGAGCTCTGGCTCCCAGACCAGGGTTCACATCCCACCTGCTAGGCTGAAAAGGACTATGGATGAACTAAATTCCCCTCAGTCCCTCTGTGTACCCTCAGTGGCTGTCACATTACGAGGGAGGACGCCAGAAGCCCGGGGAGGGGGGAGGTTTGAGGAATTTTCTCCTAAATCATAAACGTGGAAGGCATCCTGCCTGTTTGACTTGCAGCCTCGCCTCCCTTCAGGTACTGCTTTTTTTATCTCCTCCTAAAATGCGGCAGCCCCTATCGTCCCAATCTCAAATTTCACTCCATTTTTTTATTATACAAAGGAGGAAAAAAAATCTGTCAGTAAAGCTGTCTCCTCAAATTTATTCTCCGGGACTGAGGTTTTTATTACTGGGGAACTACACCCACACCCCACACGTACTCACACGTACCCACACACCCTAGATAAAGCACCGAAGAATGATCTGAGTCGTAAATCGCTGTTTCCGGCCGAGGGACAGGGGAGTTTCAAGGACGCACCTAGTTTTCCTTCCATTTTATTTGCCTCTTTTTCTCTGGGGCGGGTCTGGGCCTCACTGTCGCCCCAGGAGTAAATAGTTGCTTTGGTTAAACCGGCCCTGGGCAGCCCGAGACGAGCTTCCAATTGTCCTGGTCCAGCAGCTGGTTCTCTGACCTCCCTCAGCCTCAGGGAAGGTCAAGCAAAGGAACAGACTTGGAATTCACAGCCAGGCCAGTGGCAAGTGGCTATTTGCAAGGAAGTTGTTTTGTAATTCTTGGAGGTTAGAACCTTTCCTGACAGAGGCTGGGAGGGCATGGATGTTAACATAGTCTGTGGGTAGAGGGCACGGTGTAAGGCTGAGAGTAGGCTGGAAGACACCTTCCCGTTAGCTCTGGAAACGTGTCCCTGGATCAGACATGCAGGCACAGTTCTAGGCCCCATAGGAGAGAAAGCAGTGAATTTCAGACATGGTCACAGCTCCGCATGAACTCGTCACAGTCACCTGGTGGGGGAGCTACGCAACTGAGTGAGAGGCCAGAGTCAAGGGGACCACGGCTGTCGCAGCAGGTATTGGCTAAGTGTCATCTGATGCTCACAGAGGAGCCAAGAGTTCTTTTGGAAGGAGGGGTGATCACAGGAGTCTTCCTGGAGGAGGTGGACCCTCTTTAGGGAGTGCCTAGTTCCAGGCTGCTTTTCCCGGCCTATGGGAGGCTTTTGAGCAAGAAGCAAGACTGAATTTCCTCCACTCCAGTCAAATTCTTGACTTTGGTTACTACTTTGTGCTTCTGAGCAAGCCCTTTCACCTTCCTAAGCCTCAGTTGCCTCATCTGTAAAATGGGGAAAATACAACCTATCTTCCTGGGAGGACTGAGTGAGATGAGGCCTGGGAAGACGCAGTGGTATGCGATAACTGCCAGCGGAGACAGCTGTCTTTATGAATGCTGACAGCTTTCTGGGCCACCTCTTTTTCAGTGTCCCTTCTCACTCCCCAGAGCTGAAGAGCAGAGAATCTCTTACTGAAAAGCCAGAGGATGCAGAAAATCAGTGAATAAAAGAAGATGGCTCATTCCTGGGGAGGGAGGTGGGTGGGAGGAGCCAGAAGCCCGTGTGGGCAGCCAAGGACTGGAGAGTCGTCGGGGGGTGTGGAGGGTGAGGCCTGCAGGAAATGCAGAGGCCTGGGGACTTGCTGGTAGTCACTGATCAGCCCAAAGCGGGAGCTGGAGGAGGCTCAGAGCAAGGACCTGGAGGCAGACCAGTCTCAGGGACTCTGAGACCCTCCCCTGGTGCCCCAGTGGGGTAGGACCAGGACCTGGTGGGGCAGACAAAGTGCAGTTGAAGAGAAAAGGATGTGCGGGTGGGTTTTCCCTCCCGGAGAGGGAGAGATGCTTGTGTGTTCATTCATTTGACAGATTTTTAAGGAAGAAATAAATAGGCCTGGAACATGAGCCACTCTCAGAACATAGGCTCTACTGGGGGGGGCGGTCTTTATCTGCCCTGTTCATGCTCTGTCCCCAGAGCTATGCACATGGCACTCAGTACATATTTGTTGAATGGATCAGTTGAATTCTTACTGAGGGTACCATGAGGAACAGGGAAACCATTCCTGCTTCTCTACAACACAGATCTGCCCCAGGACAGCTGTGGTGCCCGCGCTCCGATCTCACGGGGCTTCCTGGAAGAAGCAGCCTGAGCAGGGAAGGTGGCTGCACCATGCAGGCGGTGATAGAACCAGCTCGAACCTGAGTGGCTCTTTCCCAGAGGTCATTCCCTGAATGATCAGCTAAGCTGTGAGGAAGGGACCGAGAGGATGGAGGCCTAGGTTCTAAATCCCGCTGGCCATGTCTGCGTTCCTCCCCTCTCCAGGCCCGGTTCCCTAGACGCTCAATGAGGAGATGTGGGACAGGGTGAACTCTGAGGGCCGTTTCTACCCTGAACACCCAGATGCTCTGCTTCTAGACCAGCGGGCCATAGGGACCACACCTACCCATGCCCTAGTTCCCCAGCCAGAGCTCAAGACCTGTCCGTGGGCCCCAAGGCTGCCTGATCCTGTCCCAGGACCCCGACTGCCCCCGACCAGCAAATCTGGCCTCAGCCAGGCTGGGCTGATTTTCAAGTAGAGCCACCAAAGCA